TAACCTGTCTCTTGTGCAGATCTAGAGGTGTATAAGAGACAGGATTTAATGTGATTGACAGTTCTGTTGGGTCAATGGTCAAATCACTGATGATAAGCTATGATGCAATTATTTTTACGCTAATCATGCCTGCACGAATCCGGTCCGGCCTACAGTTTTCTAAATAAACATTACCAGGAGCGGATCCAGAGATATCCAAAAGGGGGTGGGGGCCAGAAGTTGGGCCGACGAGACAACACCATCGTAGGAGTCCGGAGAACCCTCTCGAAATTGTTGTGTTCTAGACGCCCGAAAATAACATTTGAGGCGTTCTAGGCTATCAATTTTTTCTTTCTTTTTTTTTTCTTTTTGCTTTTTTGACCTCCCACAAAATCCCCTCTGATTACCTCCGCCAAAAGGAGGTTGACTTGACTATACTTTAGTTGGCATCAACGACAACAAGAAAATACAATTCAAATTGAAAAAGAAATTAAAACACCAGGTTAAAAACGTTAAAAATTTGTAAAATACGATCAAACAGTTCAAAAAATAATAGGCCTATTAAAAATTGTTAAAAATATAATAAAATCATAAGAAAAGAAAAGAAGTTAAAACAACCAAGGAAGAAAGATGCCAGGAAAGTCCATAAAGTCCTACGACTTAATTCCAATGAGGTATTAAGAGACGAGAAATACACAAGAGAAAACAAAAAAAAAAAACAAAAACAAAAAAACACTTAATTACTTTAAAAAAAGAGAAAATTTAAAACACTTATAAAATTTCTTTAAAACTACATCTTTAAATTTTCCAGGAAGTTTTTTTTTTTTTTCCCCTTTCGAAAGTATCATTTGACAAGATTTTATGTCGGCTGATAGCTATAGAGAATTCCAGTTCTTTATAGCATTGAAATACAATGTGGTTGAAGTAACTGAGGTAATGAGGTACCGTACTCGCGCGAATAAGCGCCCGGTCACTTAAAATATTTTTTGCATTTTCTGAGGGGCTCTTATTCAAACGGGGCGCATATTTAAACGGAGCGTTATGAAAACAGAGTGGCCATTGATTTACATGTGATCATCGGTAAAATGGGGACGGGATTAGCAAAAAAAACCCAAAAAAAACCTCCCTCCCTCATCAGTTTTTATTTTTTGATAGGGTGATAAACTAATAATTTTTTTATGGGGCCTAATATGATATACAGTCGATGTCAGAGACACATATGCTGTTATGTATCAACAAATTTGAGCCAGGGTGCTAGATCGAGGACTATGTGGTTAGGGGCCCCTGCGCACTTTTCACGCCTACAGAAAGTTTTATTGCACACAGTACATTTATTAATTGTTCACGTCCACCTAGCTATAAAAGAAGAAGCTTCCATACAGCCTTTCTACAACACAATAGTGGATTCAATGCTTATCGCGAACATTGCTGAAAATTAAATCATTAGAGATTTTAAATGAATACGGTAGAAATCTCCTTCCATAATATGAGCTTTTAGGAGATTCGCTCAATGAAACCCCTCGGTCCGCTTCAGCTTGAAGCTCTTCAATGTGGAGTCCAATACACGGGTTTTATAATAAACCCACTCCACCGAGGATCACACCTCCTCCGCTCATGCCAAGGTACCGGTAAGTCTATTAAAGTCCCGCAGCTTATTAGAGTTTATGAATACTGATACGAAGGGGTTCAGATCTAGGCTTTGAATTATCTTCACATGATTTTAATGCCATTATGTTAGGGTCACAAACCCTATACATTAAAGAGATATCATCGTATCCGTCATACCATGGAGAAAATCATGTCATGGCCATACCTGTCACACCATCCGATAAGCTATGTAATCGTACAAACGTACCATACGCAGGACAATCCTATCCTACTACAAAATAAATCAATGAGTCAGATGTGAGATAGGCCTACCGTCTATCAGAGAC